CAAGGTCCTGATTGAAGGTTTTGAAGGAGAGCTGACAATGGGGAAACAGTGGGGAAGGGGTTATAGCAGAGAACATCAATGGGGAAGCGAGCCCCAGCACAGACACAACGGGGAATGGGATGAGCAGAGAGAGCTCCATGGTGGAAGGAAGCACAGGCTCAATGGATTGAATTTGAGCTGTAGTTTGTGTAACTGAAGTTGGTGGTTACCGTGGGCAGCTGCCTGGATGACCAGCCCACCTTCAGGAAGTTGATGTTATCGCTGCTCTGTGTATCGTTCTCAGAACTTTTCTTAAATTCTGCAACAGGTTAAAAGGAGACGAGAGAATGAGCACTGAGCGACGGGCAGCAACAGGCAGGATAAAGCCCCCTGATGTTGGGGAATTTTTCCCTGGTCTCAGTGCCTCACCCTCCAGGCAGGTGGAGTAGAACTCAATGAAGAACTTGGTCCTGCTGGCTGTCTTCACAATGGCCTCAATATTTTCGAAGTCGATGTAGGCCTGGTCAGACGTCTTCGAGAGACCTGAGATGAACACAGAGCGGCAACAGTCAGACATAGAAGCAACAGCTTCAGACTGTTTCCCACAGCGCACCCTATCCTCACCATCTCCACTGGCTACCCATCCCCCAGAGACTCCTCGTCTTCAAAGCCCCCTAGAGCCTCGCTCCCCCCAACCTGTGTGACCCACTAACCCTATATAAACCTGTCCGCTCCCTCCGCTCAGCGGCTCCGGCCTAATCCACATCCCCCAACCTGACCCGTCCCACCACTGGAAATTGGGCCTTCAACCTCTCTGCCCCCACCTTTTTGAACTCCATCTCACAGTCCCTTAACCTCACTCCCTCCCTCACTTCCTTCAAGGCCCATTTCAAGACCCTCCTCTTCGACCGCACTTTTGGTCACTCTCCTACCACCACCCTCCCTGCCCCTCCACCCTCCCTGCCCCTCCACCCTCCCTGCCCCTCCACCCCTCCTGATCCCAAACCCCAGCTCAAATCCCTGACTATCTTGGGACGTCCTCCCGATGTGAGAGGCAGGCATTGTGTTAATGTCATGCGTAAATGGCTTGAGGAAATGGCATGTGTAAATGGCATGTGTTGGTCTCTGCTCTGTAAACACACCCACCTTTTTTGGACACAAATTGTGATGTGACGCCCACCTCGAAGGTGCCAAAGACAGGCGAGTGGTCACTGCTCACAATGTCGTCTGTACACCCTGTGGGGAAAGAGACATCAGCAACTAACACACCAGCGACTCACACGCCAGCGACTCACACGCCAGCTCTGATCCCCTCACCCCATTCCCCTCAATTCTTACGATTGCCCTGTTTCTCCTCCCACCCCTGAGATCTGCTCAGACCTCCCCCCCACTCCACACCCCACGCAGTCAGGTCTAATTGACTTTGGTTCCTGTGAGCAGGACGTGTCACTGTGGAGCGTGTGAAATACCAGAGAGTGAGATACATCAAGATACCACACCCACCTGTCCCCTCCTTCCACTCAGCGGGCTCCGGCCCACCCCACATCCCCCGCCAGCCCACCTCATCACCAACACTCGCACCTTCAGCTGCGGGGGAAACGCAGCAGCCAATTGCGCACACTGTGTCCCACAAACACTCAGGGATTGAATTGACCGATTTTATTTTAAGGAATTATTACTCCAGGAAAAGTGATCCATCAATCAACTAACAACTGGTTTCCTACTTACTGCGAGGTAAGCAGAGGGATGTGGAGCCAGGAAGCCTGCCCAACATTTCAGGTCTCTGGCTTGCAAAGTGAGTGGTCTAACCACTGAGCTACAGGACTTCAGAGTCCTGTGCTCTAACCTCATTCCCTACTCTCACCCCATGGTGTCTGTGCTGGGGCTCGCTCCCCCACTGGAGCGCTCTACTCTAACCCCATTCCCTGGCCTCTCTCTCTCTCTCTCTCTCCCCATGGTGTCTGTGCTGGGGCTCGCTCCCCCACTGGAGCGCTCTACTCTAACCCCATTCCCTGGCCTCTCTCTCTCTCTCTCTCTCTCTCCCCATGGTGTCTGTACTGGGGCTCGCTCCCCCACTGGAGCGCTCTACTCTAAAATCATTCCCCTCTCTCTCTCTCTCTCTCTCTCTCTCCCCATCGTGTCTGCACTGGTGCTCGCTCCCCCATTATTCCCCTCCTTTTATATTCTTCCACACGGACTCCCTGATCTCCTCAGTGTGTGGAGCTGGGAGATGGGCACTTACCGTAGGAGTTACATATGACGTGGGTTTCGGGATACGACTTCCACAAGATCCTATCACACCACGAGGGGACATTGGTGCGGACCTGAGAATAATCAGAACACGTGACATTAATGTGAGACTAACTCCCTCACAACCTCTCACTGTTACATACCACATTGATGCAATTAAGAGGTTATAATCAGTCAAGGATGCTTAAAAGGCATGTCAGAGATCTTACCTATAGCACTCCGCAGCTCAGCAACAGCATGGGTTAGAGACACAGTAAAGCTCCCTCTACACTGTGTGTCCACACTCCCAGGTCAGGGTTAGAGACACAGTAAAGCTCCCTCTACACTGTGTGTCCACACTCCCAGGTCAGGGTTAGAGACACAGTAAAGCTCCCTCTACACTGTGTGTCCACACTCCCAGGTCAGGGTTAGAGACACAGTAAAGCTCCTCTACACTGTGTGTCCACACTCCCAGGTCAGGGTTAGAGACACAGTAAAGCTCCTCTACACTGTGCGTCCACGCTCCCAGGTCAGGGTTAGAGACACAGTAAAGCTCCTCTACACTGTGCGTCCACACTCCCAGGTCAGGGTTAGAGACACAGTAAAGCTCCCTCTCACTCTGTGTCATCAAGATGGTTGGTGCGTGTGGAGGATGGTTGGTGCGTGTGGAGGATGGTTGGTGCGTGTGGAGCTGTGTTCACATGTCAGCCTTTTCTGGAGGGAGACGGAGGGACATGTGTAAATCCCCGGCTTTAGTCTCGGAGTGAATACGTACCCCTGTCGGCTTCTGTTTGTGACAAACATACACATCCCGGGAGCCTCGCTCGTAGCGATACGTTGGCGGGAAAGTTATCTCCTCTTCATCTGCAGACAGACAGCAAGTGAGGAGAATGTCATCAGCAGTGACACCAGCTTTGATATTAATTCCCACTCGGCTGCAGAAGTAAACTTTACCTTACATGTCGTATCATATAGTTAATATGACTTATGCAAACCATAAATTATGAGAAACTGTGTGATGTATGACTGATGTAAAGTTATGTACAAGTGGGAGTTGATATGGTCATGTGGCACTGATACAGGCCATTCAGCTCAATCACCGGAATCTGCGCCCTATCGTATCGTTGAGGCGTCTCAAAACCCCAGCACAGAATATATTGTAAAGTGAATTAATTAAATGTATATTTTGTGGATGAAACACGCCAGCTAACTGCACACAGCAGTGTCCCACAAACAGTCATGAATTTAGTGACTAAATTATATTCTATTTATTTATTTTTAAAGGGATTATTACCCCCAGAAAGCGATATGTCAATCGATTCACAACCAGTTTGTACTTACTACTAAGGTAAACAGAGGTGTGTGGAGTAAGGAAACTTATCTAAGGTTTTGTGGGTTTGATTCCTGGCTGGGAATCAAACCCAGGTCTTCTCGCTTGTGAGGCAACTACTGTAACCAAAACGCTACAGGACTCTACACATAGAAGCTTTGATGCCTCAAAGCGTTTGACAGGCAAGACTGACAGTACTCACAGAATCGCAGGAAAATCTTATTCTTCTCCTTCTCCAGGCTCAGCTGGTCAACCTTCAGCAGCGGCTCAAACTCCTTCCTGTTGATGTAGTTCAGGATATCCTGATGGGAAATGGAACAACATAATGATTCCTTACAATTCCTGCAGCGTCCAAATGTCTCCAAATGCTTCACAGGAATAGCTCTCCAGTGGAGTGACTTTGCAATTGGGGACAAACTCAGCAGCCAACGTGTGCACAGGAAGGTCCCACACCATCCATGAGGGGCACGAGCCATAATAATAATAATAATCCTTACATTTGACACAGCACCTTATTACGTCTCGAGACGTCTCAAAGCGCTTCACAGGATACACTGTAAAGTGAATTAATAGAATCATAGAATTATACAGCACAGAAGGAGGCCATTCATCCCATTGTGTCTGTGCTGCTCTCTCCCCGCTCTCTCCCCATAGCCCCGATCAACCCCACTCCCCCGCTCTCTCCCCATAGCCCTGATCAACCCCACTCCCCCACTCTCTCCCCATAGCCCTGATCAACCCCACTCCCCCACTCTCTCCCCATAGCCCCGATCAACCCCACTCCTCCGCTCTCTCCCCACAGCGTTGATCAACTTCACTCCCCCGCACTCTCCCCATAGCCCTGATCAACCCCACTACCCCACTCTCCTTGGGTTACCGACCCACCCGCCAGGGGGAATAGTTTCTCCTGTTCACCCTATCGAATCCCCTCATCAATTTGAAAACTTTTATTAAGTTTCCTCTGAACCTTCTCTGCCCGAGGAGGACAATCCTGGCCTCTCCGGCCTCTCCTGAAAACTGAAGGCCCTCATTCCTGGTACCATTCTGGTCAATCCCCTCTGCACCCTCTCCAATGCCTTGACATCCTTCCTAAAGTGTGGGGCCCAGAACTGACCCCAGTCTCTCGCTGAGGCCTCACCAGTGTTTTATATAAAGGTTCATCATAACTTCCTGACCTGTGTATTCTATGCCCTATTTATAAACCCTCGAATGCTTTTTTAACAGCTTTAACAGGTGGAGTCCTGTAGCTCAGTGGTTAGAGCACTCGCTTTGCAAGTGAGAGACCTGAGTTCAATCCCCGGGGGGTCAGGGCCAAACCTCGGGCAAGTTTCCTTACTCCACACAGAGCCTAATAATAATCCTCCAAAACCAAAAACAGTAATAAATTGGTCATTTTCAATCTACGACTGTTTGTGGGACATTGCTGTGCGCAATTGGCTGCCGCGTTCGCCCACAAATATACAGTCAATTCACTTTACAGTGTGTTCTGTGAAGCGCTTTGGGATGTCCTCCCGACGTGAAAAGCGCTATATCAAATGCAAGGATTATTATTATTATTATTATCTGATGTGGGGCTTGCACTCACAATCCTCTGACCCGGAGGGAAGAGCACTGCCAATTGAGCCAGACCGGCATCAAATAAGAGTTAGAATGAAGCTCTGGAGGTGATTCGCAGGCGGGGTGAGACCTTAGACAAGTTTCCTTACTCCACACGCCTCTGTTCACCAAGCAGTAAGCAGGAACCTGATTGTTAGTTGATTGGCAAATCACTTTCCAGGGGTAATAATTTCTCCAAACAAATTGGTCACTCACTCCATGACTGTTTGTGGGTCACTGCTATGAGCAACTGACTGCTGCGTTTTGCCCATAAAGTAAACAGTCACTACACTTTACAGTATATTCTGTGAAGCGCTTTGAGACGGATTATTATTATATTACTTCAGCTCCGCACTTACCTGTAACTCCATATCCAGCCGGTAGTTCAGGTCCCCAAACCAGAAGAGATGAGTGAATCGCAGGGAGATGTCAAAGGAGCTCAGCTGTTTGTCACCGAGAGAAAGCAGGCGCAGGATGTCCAAATAGTTCTGATTGCGTCTGAGGATATCGATGATAATATAAATACTCACATTTAATATAACACAGAAAATCTCCAAAGCCTTCACAGGGATTCGCTGTCAAATCAGTGACTATTTTGGTGGGCAAACGTAGCAGCGAAACTGTGCACAAACAGCCATGAGGTGAATGAACAATAATCTTCAGGATTGTTGGCCAGGACAACCACAAACATAAGAACATAAGAAATCCTAGACTGAAAAAGACCAAGGTCGCTGGTTTGCCTTCCTTCTTCCTTGTGGTCACATGCACATATGTCCCAAACTCCCTATGTACTGTATCCCACAATGTTATTTCCTAAAGAAAACTATCTAATCTGTGTTTGAAAGAATCAACAATTTCTGCTTGAACCGTCTCCCCAGGAGCCCGTCCACAGGCTCACTATTCGCTCACTGAAATAGTGTTTGCGTAGATTCGTTCTGAATTTTCTCCCCTTCATTCGCAGGCCGTGTCCTCGGGTTTTACTATTCTGGACAAGTTGAAGCAGCCGGTCATGATGTATATTGTTTTGCCCCTTTAGAACCTTAAATATAGCCATCATGTCACCTCTCAATCTTCTCTTTCCCAGTGTGAACATGCCCAATTTACTTAGTCACTCCTCATAGTCCAGTCCTTCCATTCCCTCAATCATTCTGGTTGCCCTCCTCTTTATCTTCTCGATTTCTGCCATATCCTTTTTGTCCTGCGGAGACCAGATCTGTACATAGTCTCCAAGTATGGTCTCACCAATGATTTATACAGTGGCAGGATGACCCCACTATTTTCTCTTGCTATTGATCTTTAGATTCCTCCCAACATCTGGTTTGCTTTACTCGCTGCCACAGAGCATTGTTGGGAGAGCTTCAATTTATCGTCAATCAGGCCCCCAGGTCCTTTTTATTTTCCATACATATTATGACATTTGTATGACCACAAATGACATCTGTGAGCACCTTTCATCCCAGTCAGAGATTTGGACCCGAGCTGGCGGTCAGGATCGGGAAGGTGGAGAGCAGGAAGGTTGGGGTAGGAGGGTGGAGGAATGCGCGGTGGAAGAGGGGCTTGAGACGGGCCTTGAAATAGGCAAAAGAGGCAAAAACGTCGAGAAGACGTGGAAAGCGCTATATCAAATGCAAGGATTATTATAACTGCCTCCTGCCTGAGAGACAAGAGCCACCAAATCCACCAGACCCCGGCCAGTCTGCCAGGCAGCCAGCCAGGCTGTCAGTGAGCTGTCCTCACCTGGCTGTCTTCTCATTGCCTGACGTTAAATGGCAGTTGACAAAGCCAAAAGAGGTTCCATTGAACATGAAGGAGACGCCCACAGCACCTTTGTTGCCTGTGAATAACAGAGAAACCAACATTTTTATTCACAACCATGAGGCGCGGTGGCTGAAGGTGCAGCACGAGGGACAATATGCCACAAGGAGAAACAGGAGCCTTGGTTACCTACCCAGGGTGTTGGCTATTCCGGTCTTCACGCTCGATGTGCTGATGTGACTAATGCGGTTCTCGTGCTCCGGTTTGACCAACACCGCAATCTTAATATTCCACAGTGACTGCATCGCCACCTGGGAACATCAACAGTTATCAGCACGGCTCGCTCCCCTCCACTCACTGGGACCTCGCCTCTCACTGACCAACAGGTCAGCGACTGCATGGGTTAGACATAGAGTAAAGCTCCCTCTACACTGTGCGTCCACCCACAACAACAACAACAAGATTCCATTTATAGAGCGCCTTTCACATTGGGAGGACGTCCCAAGGCGCTGTACAGTTGGGTCAGGACCCGAGCAGGGGGGAAATGGTCAGGGTGAGGGGAGGGGAGGGAGGGAGCGAGGAGGGGGGAAATGGTCAGGGTGAGGGGAGGGAGGGAGGGAGGGAGGGAGCGAGGAGGGGGGAAATGGTCAGGGTGAGGGGAGGGAAGGGAGGGAGCAAGGAGGGGGGAAATGGTCAGGGTGAGGGGAGGGAAGGGAGGGAGCAAGGAGGGGGGAAATGGTCAGGGTGAGGGGAGGGAAGGGAGGGAGCGAGGAGGGGGTAGAGAGTCGAGAGGGGAGCTGAAGGTACGGTCAAACAGAAAGGTCTTGAGACCGGCCTTGAAGGAGGAAAGGGAGGAAGCGGCGAAGGCACTGGGGATAGAGTTCCAGAGCCTCGGGGTTGAGAGGCTGAAGGCCACCGATGGTAGGGCGGTTGGGGCGGGGGATGTGGAGCAGACCGGAGCCAGAGGAACGGAGGGTACGGGCAGGTAAGTAGGGGGATAGTAGGACAGAGAGGTAGGAGGGAGCGAGGCCGTGAATGGCCTTGTAAGTGAGGATGAGGATCTTGAATTCGAAGACACTCCCAGGTCAGGGACAGTAGGGTTACACACAGAGTAAAGCTTTACCAATTTGAGATCCTCTGGTAGATCATCGAACGCTGAGGCTGGGGGAGTAGGGGCTGGGGATGGCTGAGGCTGGGGGGAGGGGCTGGGGGTGGCTGTGGCTGGGTGGGCCTGAGGCTGGCTCAGGCTGGGGGGGGAGGGGCTGGTGCTGGCTGAGGCTGGGGGTGAGGGTCTGGCTGAGGCTGGGTGGGGGCGGGGCGTGCGGGTGGCTGAGGCTGGGTGGGGGGGTGGGGTGCGGGTGGCTGAGGCTGGGTGGGGGCGGGGCGTGCGGGTGGCTGAGGCTGGGTGGGGTGCGGGTGGCTGAGGCTGGGTGGGGGCGGGGCGTGCGGGTGGCTGAGGCTGGGTGGGGTGCGGGTGGCTGAGGCTGGGTGGGGGCGGGGCGTGCGGGTGGCTGAGGCTGGGTGGGGTGCGGGTGGCTGAGGCTGGGTGGGGGCGGGGCGTGCGGGTGGCTGGGGGGAGTTCCAGACTCACCGGTTTGAAGTCCAGCTCCGTACATTCCTTCAGGCTGCCCCGTATGAAATCAACCCAGTCCTTGTCTCCCAGCGAGTTCTCCTGTGTGCCCACAACATATATATCGTGTGGGATAGTGACGGTGGTCTCGTCCAGGGTCTTCCCCAGTCCCTTGGACACCAACCAGGAGGCCATGGTTTTATGAGGCGGAGCACTCCCTGTTCAGGTTAAATAAAGAAAACGAAAATAGGACATTTTGATAAAAATTCCCCTTAAATAATAATAATCTTTGTATTTGGTACAGCGCTTAGCACATCATTGAGCTGTCTCAAGCGCGTCACAGGATACACTTTAAAGTGTAGTGCCTGTGTATCTTGTGGGCAAAACGCAGTAGCTAATTGTGCACAGTGACATCCCACAAACAGCCATGGAGCGAGTCACCAATTTTATTTGGGGGATTGATGGTCAGGACATCAAGAGAGAGTTAGAGAGAGAGAAACTTCTTTCTATTTTCGAACAGCTGAGGGATGTTTAACATCCCCCTGAACAGACAGACGGGACATCCGTTTAACGTCCATCAGGAGCAGAGCACGAGAGGCGGGTGGGTGTCAGTGCCGAGCTGCGCAACACAGGTCTCTTCATATAGAACATTACAGCTCAAAAACCGACAATTCAGCCAATCAAATTTACACTGGAATTTTCTCCATACAAGTGCTCCCAATGCCAAGCTCCCAATGCCAAGCTCCCAATGCCAAGCTGCCAATGCCAAGCTCCCAATGCCAAGCTCCCAATGCCAAGCTCCCAATGCCAAGCTCCCAATGCCAAGCTCCCAATGCCAAGCTCCCAATGCCAAGCTCCCAATGCCAAGCTCCCAATGCCAAGCTCCCAATGCCAAGCTCCCAATGCCAAGCTCCCAATCGCAAGATCTCAATGCCAAGCTCTCAATGTCAAGATCTCAATGCCAAGCTGTGTCAATGACAAGCTCTCTCAATGCCAAGCTCTCATTGCCAGGCTCTCAATGCCCATCTCTCAATTCCAGGCTCTCAATGCCAAGCTCTGAATCCCAAGCTCGCTTAATGAAAAACCTCTCTCAATGACAAGCTCCCAATGCCAAGCTCTCTCAACGCCAATCTCTCTCAATGACAAGCTCTCTATGACAAGTTCCCTCAAATGCCACGCTCTCAACGACAAGATCTCAATGTCAAGCTCCCAATGCCAGGCTCGCAATGACAAGCTCCCAATGCCAGGCTCGCAATGACAAGCTCCCAAATGCCAGGCTTGCAATGACAAGCTCCCAATGCCAAGCTCTCTCAATCACAAGCTCCCAATCACAAACTCTGAATGACAAGCTATCAATACCAAGCTCCCAATGGCAAACTCTCTATGACAAGCTCTCTCAATGCCATGCTCTTTCAATGCCAAGCTCTCTCAATGCCAAGCTCTTTCAATGCCAAGCTCTCTCAATGCCAAGCTCTCTCAATGCCAAGCTCTCTCAATGACAAACTCCCAATGACAAAATCTCAATGCCAAGCCCTCACAATGACAAGCTCTCACGATGACAAGCTCCCAATGACAAGCTCTCTCAGTGCCAAGCTCTCAAAGACAAGCTCTCAATGCCAAGCTCTCTATGACAAGTTCCCTCAATGCCACGCTCTCAACCACAAGATCTCAATGTCAAACTCTGTCAATGACAAGCTCCCAATGACAAGCTCTCCCAATGACAAGCTCTCCCAATGGCAAACTCTCTCAATGCCAAACTCTCAATGACAAGCTCCCAATGACAAGCTCCCAATGACAAGCTCTCTCATTGACAAGCTCTCAATGACAAGCTCCCAATCACAAACTCTCAATGACAAGCTATCAATACTAAGCGCCCAGTGGCAGTTCTCTGAATGGCAAGCTCTCTTTGACAAGTTCTCTCAATGCCAAGCTCCCTCAGTGACAAGCTTTTTGTCAAGTTCTCTCAATGCCAAGCTCTCTCAATGCCAAGCTCTCTCAATGCCAAGCTCTCTCAATGCCAAGCTCTCTCAATGCCAAGCTCTCTCAATGCCAAGCTCTCTCAATGACAAGCTCTCAATGTCAAGCTCTCTCAATGCCAAACTCCCAATGACAAAATCTCAATGCCAAGCTCTCTCAATGACAAAGCTCTCACGATGACAAGCTCCCAATGACAAGCTCTCTCAGTGCCAAGCTCTCAAAGACAAGATCCCAATGACAAGCTCTCAATGACAAGCTATTAATGGCAAGGTCTCAATGACGAGATCTCTCATTGCCCATCTCTCAATGCCCATCTCTCAATGCCAGGCTCTCAATTCCAGGCTCTCAATGCCAAGTTCGCTCTCTCAATGACAAGCTCCCAATGACAAGTTCTCTCAATGCCAAGCTCTCTCAACTCCAATCTCTCCCAATGCCAAGCTCTCTATGACAAGTTCCCTCAATGCCACGCTCTCAACGACAAGATCTCAATGTCAAACTCTGTCAATGACAAGCTCCCAATGACAAGCTCTCCCAATGGCAAACCCTCTCAATGCCAAACTCTCAATGCCAAGTTCTCAATGCCAAGCTCACAAAGACAAGTCTCTCAATGCCAAACCCTCAAAGCCAAGCTCTCTCAATGCCAAGCTCTCAATGCCAGGCTCTCAATGACAAGCTCCCAATGACAAGCTCCCAATGACAAGCTCTCAGTGACAAGCTGTGAAAGGCGCTCTATAAATGAAATCTTGTTGTTGTTGTTGTTGTCTATGACAAGCTCTCTCAATGATAAGCTCGCCCAATGCCAAACTCTCTCAATGCCAAGCTTTCAATGCCATGCTATCTATGACAAGCTCTCTCAATGCCAAGCTCTCTCAATGATAAGCTCCCTCAATGCCAAGCACTCTCAATGAAAAAACTCTCTCAATGACAAACTCCCAATGACAAGCTCTCAATGCCAAGCTCTCTCAATCACAGGCTCCCAATGCCAAGATCTCGATGAAAAGCTCTCAATGACAAGCTCCCAATGACAAGTTCTTTCAATGCCAAACTCTCAATGACAAGCTCTCAATGTCAAGCTCTCAATGTCAAGCTCTCAATGCCAAGCTCTCTTAATGCCAAGCTCTCAATGCCAAACTCTCAATGCCAAGCTCCCAATGACAAGCTCTCTCAAACATGACAAGCTCTCTCAATGACAAGCTCTCAGTGACAAGCTCCCAATCACAAACTCTCAATGACAAGTTATCAATACCAAGCGCCCAGTGACAAGTTCTCTCAATGGCAAGCTCTCTATGACAAGTTCTCTCAATGCCAAGCTCCCTCAGTGACAAGCTCTCTTTGTCAAGCTCTCTCAATGCCAAGCTCTCAATGCCAAGCTCTCTCAATGCCAAGCTCTCACGATGACAAGCTCCCAATGACAAGCTCTCTCAGTGCCAAGCTCTCAAAAACAAGATCCCAATGACAAGCTCTCAATGACAAGCTATTAATGCCAAGCTCTCAATGCCAATCTCAATTGGGCCATCAGCATATCTGATCCCACCCTTTGCAACTCCACCTTGGAATCCCTTCAGTTGGGCCATCAGCATATCTGATCCCACCCTTTGCAACTCCACCTTGGAATCCCTTCCCCTTGACCCTACCTTGCCTTGTTCATGGTCCTTCTCAAGACCCTCTTCTTTAACTTGCCTTTTGGTCATCTCCCACACCCACCCACTTGGTCCTGTCCCCTCCCGAATCCAACCCCCAGCTGGTGTGTAAACCCTCCACTGTCCAGCATTATGGGACGTCCTCCTGAGGTGAAAGCCACTGTGTGTAATTGCAATTTGTTGCGGCTGAAAGTGTTGATCTTAAAAAACCACAAACAAAATGGAACAAATGGCCTTCCTCTACAATACTAATTATATTCTATGCTGTAAATTCCTATGGTTCTAGACTGGGAATCCCTGTTCTGGCCAAATGAAGGCTTTTTCCACTGAAGCAGAGGGATTATCAGGTTATTTGATGGTCTGAGGAGAGGGAGCAGAGGCCATGTTACATGTTCCACTTACCCATGTTCCAGGTGCCAATGAAGACCGAGATCATGTCTGGCTCGTCCTGCTTGGAATGTTTATTCTTCATCAGCTGGAGAAGCTGGCAAAAGGCTTCCCGCTTCTGTAACAGAGACGCAACCCATTACAGGGGGTCTGTGACAGCCCATTACATGGAGTCTGTGCCAGCCCATTACAGGGGGTCTGTGCCAGCCCATTACAGAGGGTCTGTGCCAGCCCATTACAGGGATTTGTGCCAGCTCATTACAGGGGGACTGTGCCAGCCCATTACAGGGGGTCTGTGCCAGCCCATTACAGGGGGTCTGTGCCAGCCCATTACAGGGGGTCTGTGCCAGCCCATTACAGGGGGTCTGTGACAGCCCATTACAGGGGGTCTGTGCCAGCCCATTACAGGGGGTCTGTGCCAGCCCATTACAGGGGGTCTGTGCCAGCCCATTACAGGGGGTCTGTGCCAGCCCATTACAGGGAGTCTGTGCCAGATAGAGTGACAAGGGTCCGTGAGAGACAGACAGTGACGGGAAGGGGACTAGGCTGGCAACACAGGGAGCAATCAGATGGGGGGAAAGTATCCAAGTCTGGTGAAGTGAGGGGTATCCCCTCCTATAGTTGGAGAGCTACGAGTAGCGGTACAGCCTGGCATTGGCTGCAGCAGTCACTGAGCCCTGACATTGTCAGAGCGATGACTGTGTGAGGAATAGCTGAGAGCTGGAGAGGTTCTCACAATGATCATTCCTGTCATGGCTGGACACTCACTCTTGTGCTCTCGAAGATGAAATCTTTCCTTTGAGACTTGTCCTTTTCCTTATCAAACACGATGCCCAGTTTGTTGTGGACCCGCTGAGACTTAATCAGCTGCCGGACTGCAAACAAACAAAGGTACCCTTCTGAGTGCACAGGGGTCTGTCCATCACTTCCTCCTCACTCCCCTCCCCCTCCGCACACTCCCCTCCGCACACTCCCCCTCCGCACCCCTCCCCACACTCACCCACACCCCCTCCAAACACTCCCCTCCGTGCACACCCCCCCCACATTCCCCCTCCGCATCCCTCCTCACTCACCCACACCCCCTCCAAACACTCTCCTCCGCAACCCCCCCAACACATTCCCCCTCCGCATCCCCTCCTCACACTCCCCTCCGCACCCCTCTTCACACTCACCCATACCCCCTCCAAATATTCCCCTCCGCAACCCCCCCCCACACACTCCCCTCCGCACCCCTCCTCACACTCCCCCACACCCCCTCCAAACATTTCCCTCCGCACCCCCCTCCTCACATTCCCCTCATAAACCCCTCCACTCACTTCCCCTCCGCAACTCCCACACCCCCCCCCTCCGCATACTCTTCTCCGCGCACTCCCCCACACCCCCCCCTCCGCACATATGTCCCAAACTCCCCATGAACTGTATTTCCTAAAGAAACTATCTAATCTGTGTTTGAAAGAATCAACAATTTCTGCTTGAACCGTCTCCCCAGGAGCCCGTCCACAGGCTCACTATTCGCTCACTGAAATAGTGT